TACTGTAAATAATTACTAACAATATATATATATATATATATATATATATACACACACACATTTCAGAATCTTAAACTACCTTTTGCAATATATAATATATATTGGCATAAGAATAGGTGGGGCAAGTGTAACAATTGATTCAGGGCTTAGGCGAGAGCCCTACTATTATAAATTATTCTTGGCTTTCACTCATAAGTTCCAAGAATATTGAGCAAGATTTCAATTCCTTTCGTTGAGTCGGCTCCTGGTTAACTAATGCGTAATAAGAGCACAGTGTAAAAAAAAGAAAGAAAGAAACTGTAGTGAATGCATGTGAATAACGTGTTTAAAAAATAGTAATATATAATTTATCATTAAAATCATAGTCGCACAAAGTTTAATATACGGGATTGTAACAAGTGAGAAACATTTATCATAATTTTCACCAATAATACTGTATAAAGACAAGACAGTTTTGAAATAACAAGATGAAAGCAACCTCAATAACTAATAAACGCGAAAAATTCACGGTAGAGTTATACTTATATTTAGGGCCCGGCATGGCTAGATGGTTAGGACGCTCGACTTGCAATCTGCGGGTCGCGGGTTCGCATCCCCGTCCCACCAAACATGTTCGCCCTTTCAGCCGTGGGGGCGTTATAATGTTACGGTCAATCCCACTATTCGTTGGTAAAAGAGTAGCCGAAGAGTTGGCGGTGGGTGGTGATGACTAGCTGCCTTCTCTCTAGTCTTACACTGCTAAATTAGGGACGGCTAGCGCAGATAGCCCTCGTGTAGCTTTGCGCGAAATTCAAAAAAAACAAACAAACAAACAAACTTATATTTAATTAATAATATACCTATATTATTAATTAAAACGGAAGAGATGGTGATGCACATGATGCTTGAACTAAAATGTTAATAATAATAAATAAACAGTATTTATCTCTAACCGACCTACGTGGGCTCGGTAGTAAGTTTGGGGGCTTATAGTGCGAGTTTCGATACCCCGATGGGCAAAGCATTGATAACTCATTACATAGCTTTGCGCTTAACAACATTTCTATTTCTTTTTGAGATGGTAGTCAACAGAAGTTGCAAGTAATTATAAGATTTTGTACCAGTATAAGTTGTTTCATTGCACTGCTGTTGTTAGCTTTACAGTTCGTTTTAATGCAAGATATTTTATTGCACCGATCAGAAATGGGGGATATTCAAACACTCTCTGTAGATTTGTTTATTAAACAATTTCAAAAATATCCATTCTTTCATTAGAAAGCAATTAATACACTATCCCCAAATGGTATATTAAAGTCGAGGCACTTTATCAAACTTGCTTTACCTGTCTCTGTTCTTTCGATATTTTTGGATAACAGAGTAACTAGTAAAATCCAGAAGAAACAAAACAACAAAAAACGGGCCATTTCCTGTAAGAGAGGAAACAACAGACAATTTAAATTGCGAGCCAACTTTGGTTTTGGTCCACAGATTTCTCGTCATAGTTTTAGTTTAGTTATATAACTCGTTTACACGACACTAACGTATAGTAAGAGACTTAAGCCAGCGATAAAAACAAAAAATCTTTGTCATGCATGTTATTTCTAAGCTTTAATAGTAATGTGGCCACTCTATAAATGACAGTATTAAAAATATGTCTAGTTATCAATCACACTTTAATTACAAGAGTCACATTTCTAATCTATGCAAGAGAAATTCACACCTTAAAATGTGAATCATCCATTGATGATAATAGTTAAATGCTACGTCATAGATGGTGTGATAGAATGTGTGACGTAATAATTTCAAATTTCCTTTAAAATTTATTATTTGAATGGGTTCATAAACATGTGGAAAAACACTAAGTACTTTTTAAAACAAATTATTATAAATCTGTTCATGTTTTAGTTTTATGAGTTAAATGAGTAGGGTGAAGATAACTTCGTTTTTTTTTTATTTTATTCGTGATTTGTAATCCTATACAGTGTACTTGAGACAAAGAAAGGATCTAAATCAAAAATGAAATATTAAGAAGTCTATTTGAAAAAAAAATCTTTACATCTTTTCTGAAAATTTCATCAATTTTTTAACTGTTTACTTCCATTGTAAAAAAAAGAGTTAAGACAAAAAATATATCCTTGACTTTTTCATTCTGTGGAAATACTCCGCCCATATATATGATGTCATATATATCCTGTTCAGGTGGCGCTGCAATTTTCAAGACAGCCAATCAGTATACAAACCGGTGTTTAGTCGATTTATGTGGTATGAAGGTGAACAAAGGACGTTAGACTAAAATTTAGTGGAATAGAGTTACTTATAATTTAAGTCCAATTAATATTCTAAATTCAAAAACTTTTTTCGAGGTTGCACGTTAGAAATTAACATTTTGTTTCTCCTTGATAATAATAATAGAACAAAATGAGTGTGTGCCTAATCGTAATCGACGGCTGGGGAATTTCCGATCATAAAATGGGGAACGCAATTCTCAATGCACGTACACCGGTAATGGATAAACTTGTAGCTGCTCCAGACCAATACTGCACTTTAGATGCTTCTGGGCTATCGGTAGGCTTACCTGCTGGTTTGATGGGCAACAGCGAAGTAGGACACATGAACATCGGTGCAGGTAGAGTTATATATCAAGACATTGTAAGAATCAATATGGACGTAGAAACTAAGAAGATTTATGATAATAAGTATGTTTTGGAAGCATGTAATTATGCCAAGTCCAACAATGGGCGACTTCATTTCTTGGGTTTAGTAAGTGATGGGGGAGTTCACTCTCATATTAACCATTTGTTTGCCCTACTTGAAGCTGCCAAATCACATAAAGTTCCAAACACGTATATTCAATTTTTTTCTGATGGCCGAGACACAAGCCCAACTAGTGGTGTAACGTATGTTCAACAGGTTTTGGATAAAATCAAAGAACTTGAGTATGGTTCTTTGGCCACCATAATGGGTCGCTACTATGCGATGGATCGGGATAAGCGTTATGAGCGTAACAAGATTGCGTACGAAGGTCTGGTCCAGGGAATTGGAGAGAAAACATCACCAGAAGAGGTCATTGAAGTAATTAAGAAACGATATGAATCACAAGAAGATAAACAGACTGATGAGTTTCTTAAACCTATTATTCTTGATCAGTCTGGATTAATCCAAGATAACGATACCTTGGTTTTTATTGATTTTCGTTCTGACCGCATGAGACAAATTGTCGAGGCTTTTGGTCTAGAGAGGCATTTTGAAACTGACAAAGTAGCTCAGAATCTAAATATTTTTACAATGACCAAATACAAGAAGGAATTCCCATTTTCCAATCTCTATCCTCCAGAAATACCAAAAAATGTACTGTCAGAGTGGATTTCATGTAAGCAACTACCTCAATTTCACTGTGCAGAAACAGAGAAGTATGCCCATGTTACATTTTTCTTCAATGGGGGTCAGGAAAAGGCATTTCCACTTGAAGATCGACAAATGGTTCCATCTCCCAAGGTTGCAACATATGATCTGCAACCAGAAATGAGCTGTGAAGGGGTAGCTCAAGAAATGGTCAAGGCTATAGAGACTGGTAAATATCCATTTATTATGTGTAATTTTGCTCCTCCTGACATGGTAGGCCACACTGGTGTTTATGAAGCTGCTTTAAAAGCAGTAGAAGCTACTGATAGAGCTATAGGAATGATTCAACAAGCCTGTGAAAAGCATGGATTTGTGATGCTTGTTACAGCTGATCATGGGAATGCAGAAACAATGATTGACGAAAAAGGTGGTCCAGTTACTGCACACACAACCAACAGAGTTCCTTTCTGTATGACAGGATACCGGAAGTTCAAAAAAATTGAGCATAATGCTGCACTTTGTGATGTGGCTTCAACTGTCCTTGATTTAATGGGACTCGACATTCCTCCTGAAATGACTGGACAGTCTCTTCTAGCTTAATGATAGGGTTACCTGTAAAAATGCTTTACTTCTTAGGACTATTAGCTTTTATAGGAAATTTGCTTATGTATTTTTTTGCTGGTGACTATATAGCATATAGGTCACACTGATTGGTAATCATATTAATATATTCTGTTAAGTATTTTATAATTTTGTGTATTACTGTATTTGCCTTTTATCAGTGATTTATAAATACTTTCAGAACCTAATACATTTTGCATTCCATGTTAATTTACAAATTGAGCATTTTTTTGTGTATTCTTTTTTATTAATTATACAAAACCAGTAATTTTTTCTTTAAAAAATATTTTGTAATTGGCCATACGTATATTTACATTTGTTTATTTTGTATCCCATGAATGATGATAAAAGTTTTCACTTGTGTTCTTTCAGTTCTGGGCTGATACATAGTATGTTGAAGTCATTTTTGTGTGTTAAGGATATGGTGACTTAAGAAAGAAATTAAACTATTGTTCAGGATGTTATGATTCCTAAAAACTGACCATTTTCAAAATTTATATACACGTGTTAGTTTCTTCACATTAATCCAACGGAGAGAGAGAAATCAGGATTATTTTTATTCTAGCAAAAATTTTTCCATAGCAGTGTACACGTGAGCTTATAACTACAAGTTTAATGGTTACTAATAATGAATAATATAAGTTATTTTTGTAACATTTTGGTTTTGTTATTTAGGGTTACTTATATTCATTGCTCTATAGAAAATAGTTTTTTTAATCACAGAATGTAACTTAATGTTTTTACCTTTCAGTGTGTGAAATTTAGGATTAGTTAGGACTAGGTTTATAACTGAAGATTTATGAACAAGTTCTCTTTTTTATAATAGAGACTAGGCTTCTGGGCTATTTCTTTATTTTGATTCATTAGACAATTTCTGCATAAAATATTATAAACAAATTTCAATAAATATATATATATTGAAAAGAAAAGTTTAAAGGAGTATTCATTAAAAGTGTTGAAATAAACACTTCTTTTTTTTTTTCTTTTTAGCTTATTAGATGTAATTGTTTTGTAGTTATGCATAGAGTTTTTAGCCAAAGGACAAAGATGTAGTAAAACAAGTTACATATCATTACAGTATTTGTAGTACCAAGAACACAAATAGTTGAATACAACAAAGAATGGTTTCAGTTGCAGCCAGTTAAATCTGAATTTTGTGAAATTCCATAAAAACAAAATGTTTTGTTTAGGTGGCTTCTTGTTGATCATAAACAATTCGAACATGTTGTGAAAAAAAAATGACCAATTTATTTATGGAGTGGCCTTGTATTTTGACTTGTTCCTTGATTATGAAAGTATTAAAGAATGATGATATTCAAGGGGTTTCTGTGGAATGTTATTACAACATATATACATGACTGCTGCTACTTAACCAAACTTTTATATGTGTCTTTGAAAGAAAATATTTCTTAAAATTTATTATTCTGAGAAAGAAAAAAATTATCTTTGAATACATATATATATATTCAATGTAGCCATTTAAAAGGAACATACCTATCCAAGTACAACAAACTACTAATATTCCGGCTGACAGTGTACAAACTCTTAGGCTAATTATCCAGAAGTTGATAACTATCTGAAAAATTATTTTGTAGAGAAGCAAGTCTGCATGTTTGCTTTCACAGCTTAAATCTAGCACCTCTAATTTCAAGATTCTATTTCCAGTCTTTTTCATTCTTGCATTGTACTGTCCAAATCCCTAAAAATGTAAACACAAAATTGTCTCTAATTCCTCAAAAAATCTAAGAAAAAGTGTCCTACAATTTCCAGTTTTTGAATTCAGGGTTGAATGCAACCATTCATAGTTATTACATTGTATTAGAACTTTTGTGAAGGGATTAATTCGTTTTATTTCTATTTCCTAAAAGGAACAGTTTTGCGTAACGTATTTTAATTAGCTGAAAACATTTAAACGTTCTGACGAGTGAATCTTTGTCACGAATAAAAAAAAATGTCAGACCCTAAACAAAGATATAACATTTATGTATCTTTGAATAAATAGAGTTGTTTAAAAATTTGTTTAACAAGTAAAAGCTCGAAACGGTATATTCTTTCATTGGGGTGTCTGTCTGTGAGCCAGACGAGTTTCGGAGAATTCCACTCCTCATCAGTAACCACCAATGAACACTGATGAGGAGTGGAATTCTCCGAGACTAGTCTGGCTCACAGACACACACCCCAATGAAAGGATAGACCATTCCAAGCTTTTACTTGTTGTTAAACAACTCTATTTATTCAATTATGTATAAGCTGCCCAGTGGTCGGCTAACAATACGAAGAATTAAATTGTGGCGAAATGCTACAAGTTCT